AATATTATCTAGGGAGGATGCAAGGCTCGTATGTGGGAGACTTTCAGGAGTCGAGCAAATCTCCGATACGTGCTGAATCCGGATGGCTTTTGTGATGCGTGCTGAGTTCGGAGGAAGTTCCTTGATACCTGCTGAGACTGGAGGGCAGATAAAGGCCCTAAAGAGTCCAAAAGTTCTGTTAGTAATGCTGACATTAAAAAGTTTCTGGTTAAAGATTTTCCTGGAGGCTGCTAGAGCTCTCAGACTCACACCACATTAACATAAATTCACTGCTCCCTAAGTTTCCTATCTAATCTTCTGAGTTGCTGTTGCCAATTTGATACCATATGGATAGTTCTTAAAAGAGCACAATGCTCAAGGCAGACATTCTTTACTAGCTAAGCTGAACTACTGTTTGGTTCCAAGAAAACTTCAGGGACTATAACCATCCCTTTTCCTATTACTAATATCTGTTTTGCATTTTTCTGTACTCTTCTCTCTTCCCTTCTCATATATTCAAACAAAAGAAAGTCCCACAGCTTTTGAAAGTGGAAGTTGGACTTCAATTTTACATGGGACATACAAATACCATATTAAAAAGTATTTGTTGATTGAAGAAAGGAATGACATCAGTGACTGTACTGACTTCATTCCCCCTGAGGATGCTCTTCCACTCAGGACTTTTCACTACTCAACAACCAAGTGGAATATTTGGCTGATATATTTGGAAAATATCATCTGTTGGTCACAGTGACAGCAAAGAAAAAATTAATTCTATAAAGAGCTTAAGGACCAAACAACTCTTCTGGTCAATATTTTCAACATGCCAACAGATATTTTTTCAGTATGGGAAATTCAGTCCCAATATGGTTACAGACAAGTAGAAATTAATTTTGATACTTAGCAATTGGCTTTCCAAACAAAAACAATAATGAGAAAGGGATGGAGCCCCTTATGCTGGACACACTGAATTTTTCTCAAAAAAGCAACACTAAAGATGAAAATGGACTAAACAAAAACACTTTAGCTGCCAGTAAAAAAAAAAAAAAAAAAAAAACTAGTTTTCCCAAAAGCAAATAAAATGGAAAAAAAGTAAATAAAGATGCTTTTCCAAACTTAAGATCTAGCCACTAAATCTTTCATGAGAATCCCATTTTGAAAAACATATAGACCCAAAAACTGCTAGAACAAGAAAAGCCACTGGAGATCACAAAGCAAGGCAACTGTGCAAAGTCAGAGCTCAGAATGGCACGAGCCAGAGCTAGAATGCAGCCTTCCTAACATCCATCCTTCTCCACACACTGCTTTCCCTGTTCAGCATGGCTTTGCTTCCCTGTTCAAACATTACAAACCATGACAATAAAGGCCTCCATCATTGAAGATTTAAAACTAGGAGAGAAAAATAGGTAAAAATCGCTCACATTCAAATGCAATTACATCTCAATATAACCTAATGGGGAAGGAAGCAACTGTGGCTAGACATTGGACTATGAGCCAGGCTTTCCCAGTAACTCGTTATGGGAGCTTGTTCCATTCACTTCTTCATGCCTTCTCTGATCTCCAAGGTCCCTTCCTGCTCTAATATCTTATGGTGCTATTAGATTATTCTGATCCAGAAACATGAAATCTGATTTCCAAAGAGTGGCTTTTAGAGAAAGTTTCTCAGCCCAAAAACCCAGGAGTCATGTTGATTCCTCTCTTTCAGCCACATCAGTGGTTGTCTTGACTCTTCCTTCAAGGTGTAACTGTCATCCAGTCTCTTCTTGGCATTTCCACTACCATCTTCCTCAAAGCCAGAGCCCTTACAATGGCCTATGAGGCTCTTGTGGTACGGTTCCCCCTACTTCTCTAACTACATCGCTTCTTACCGTCTCCTTCTTTCACTGCCCTCCAGCCACACTGATCTTCTCGCTGTTCCTCACCTGTGGTAACCAGGTACCACCTCAGGGCCCGTGCACTTGCTGTTCTTCAGCACGTACTGCTCTTCTTCCACATATTTGCATGGTTCATTTCTTCATTTCCTTCAGGTCTCTGCTTAAATAGCATCTCCTCAGAGAAGCCTTCTCTGACCATCCATCTAAATATTACCTACCCAACCCTGGCACTCTCTATCCCTTGTAATATAAAGAT